CATGCAGTGACTACTCCAATACTTGAACAGCACTCATCGTGCCACTCCACGTTCAGCCTGCGAGCACGCTCGAGACCCCTGTCCGATACATATTTAATGATCGACAAGATGTGGCTTGTGATGCCTTAAGGGCTGTCAAATGAACTAGCAACATTTAATCGTTATGTGGCGCAGTTGTTCAGGCGCACCGGGCGTATGCACAGACATACTTCGACGGCATCTTCTTCCCCAGTCGTGCGAGGCACTGGAGGACCGATAACATGAACTCCATCATTCATTGGAGAGCGGTGCTCGAGTGCATGCAAACGAATGATCTGTATGCTGATGCCGATAAGTGCATCTTTGGCGCAGATGAAATCTCTTTTTAGGGTGCTACATTGAGAAGCGAGGCTTTCGAGCGGATCTCTTCCAGGTCAAGGCTATCGTGGACTAGTCAATTATAAAGAACCAAAAGGCTTGCACAAGACTTGGCTTGTACCAACTACTTGCATAAGTGCGGAAATGGCACGGCCATTGTCGAATTTCCTTATGAAGGATACGGAATGGTGGTATGCCGAGCGGATGCTTTGACGGGGTCAAAGACAGCCTCCTAATGCAACAATAAGGGCGTTGCCGGACCCCGATCGTTCTTTAAGTGTCGTCTGTAACACTCAAAGTCCGTCATCGGCTGCAGGCAGACGCCGAGGGGCGAGATCGGGTGTTCGCGTTCGAATCTCGCCAGCTCAAGGCCGAAAGAAGAAGTACTCAGGCCACAACAAGGAATTACTTGTGATGAAGTACGCACTTGTCAAGTTCAGGGTGCATCTGCTCGGCTCCAAGCCGTTCGTGATCTACACAGATTATGCGTCACTACCCACTGCGACCCAACCGCCTCACCTCTCAAGGACGATCTGGTGGCTATCTTTCTTCACCAAATATAACTTTGAGGTAAAGTATAAGCCAGGAAAGCCGAATGCTTTGGCTGATGCATTGTCATGCAGACCCTGTTTCAATCTTGCTCATGTCACGACGGTGACGTCATCCGTGACGGGTTTGATGCGCACCGCATACGCGCGTGACGTTATGTGCATCGCGCTGCCTTGGTCTCTTGGGAGCAAGGATTTTGGAAGCTCGGACAATAACTTGTCGTCGCGACTGCGCGCACGGTTGCACCGATATTCGTTAAATACTGGAATGCTGTATTAAATCACCGACTCGACAGATACACCTCAAATTGTGGATGGGGTTCTTAAACACCGTCTTCTCTATGAGGCCCACGTCACCCCGCTCACTGGTCATCTCGGTCGCACGAAAACGTACAGCTCGGTGTGCTGCCCCTACTGGGTAGCCAATCTGTACAAATGGACAAGCATCTATGTGCGCACGAGTGAGACGTGTCAAGGTGAAACCCTCTCCGAATGCGGCGACGCCGCTGGTCAGCTTGCCGGTACCCTCTGAATGTCGGCAGTCCATGAGTATGAACGTTGTGTTTGGTCTGCCGAAAAACTCAACGGGCAACACAGGTGTCGTGTTCTTTGTCGACCGTTTGAGCAG